AAGCAAATACACCAAACTGTCAGTGCTGCTGTAGGAAATTATCACATGCCATCTTTGCAAGAGTTAGAGTAATTGTGCTTTCATGAGACTTGGATCTCCAAATTGCAGAGCTGCTGGCAGTAATTAAGAGAAACGGCACACCAGTGTTGTAAGGATTTAAGCTTCCATTAGCTGTTGAAATAGGGTTTTATACAAGCAGTTATTGCAGGAACCCTTTCTCAATAAACGATTCAAAGGGAATGATTACCCACACCAAGCCATAGAGCTGCACATTACACTACAGCACTTGTCCTTGCTCACCCACAGCTCTGTAACCACTTAGCAAGGCAAAGGATGCTAAAATAATCAGCACATCCAAACTCCTACTGGACCCAAAAAACTGCCTTAGAAATTTTACTTATCTGTACTTACATACATACTCAAAAATTAATATGCCAGGACTCGTATTCTTACTTCTCATGTATGCATTTTTATTAGTCTGCCCTCACCTGAAGATGTTGGGACTAAATGCAATGCACATTTGCATCAATGAAAAAAAAATTTCCCTTCTATCCAAAAGAATTCAATGAAAATCTCAATGCTAAGATCCTTCCACACTGTGATACTATTAATACCATGCATATATCAATGCAAGCAGTGCAACATAACATTACATTAAATCCTCTAAGAATAGAGTTCTATCAAAAAACACTGGACAGAAAGCATGCCCCCCCAAAAGAAGGATGGTATTTCAGCACACATTGCTATGTGGGGAACACTGCACATCACCTGCTTGGCCACGACACGCAGTGATGCGTTTGTGGACTACCTGGAGATACTGAATACCTTCAAATAGTGAAAACAACAATAATGTTAAGGACACCTGCTGCGGCGTTATTCTTACAGCTTCAATGCTCAGTAGCACATCACCTGTTCGGTGAGAAGCAGGGTGCTGGTGCCACCTGCTGTCTGCTCCGTGCTGGGCAGATCAAATAATGCAGCAAACTCAGCTGCTTCATACCAGAATCACCCACGCTGTGCCTTTCATGCGGACAGCTGAGCCCTGCCGTAGGCCCTCGGGCTGCTGCCGGCCACAAGCTGTATCTCACATCAGGTACGTGGGGGAGGAGGTTGCTGAGCACTGAGCAAACGTGGTGCACCACACAGCATGGGATGGGCACTGCTCTTTTCAGACATCCCTGCATGCAAAGCAACACGCTGAGCATGTGAGAGAGCTGACAGCAGGCAGCCCAGGCACCCAGGTGGTGACAGACCCACATCCAGTGGGAAATCTCACCCAAATAGTAAACATATGTCATGGAACCATCTCACAGTGCAGTTGCAGAAGTTTGTTAGGACCCAGCTCAGGGGCACAGCAGTGCACTGTCTCCATAGGTATCAAAGTGTCCTACCCAGGACTGGCAAGTATCCAGCAACGTTCACCACTCCTCAAATTACCTATAGATATGTGTGTACAGCTCTGACTGACACGGCTTTAAGTTACAGTGGAAAATATATTAGATAGGTCAAAACGTCAAGTTAAACCCAAGGGAATGGTACCAGAAGGCGTAGCTCTAAGATCATCCACTAAGCAGATGCCTTAAGGCATCATACAATACATCATGTCCATTGCAACACCAAGTGAACTTTAATTTGGGGCTGGTCAAACTGCCCACTAACACACACTGCTCCTGGGATTCAGCAAGCAGCACCTCTACTGAATTGCTTACAGAAGTTAATGCCCAAAGATGATTGAGGATGGCTGCCAGCAATGCCACTTCTATTACATAACACACATTTCCAAATTGCTCACGCTCATTTGCAATCCTTTTCCACCACACTTGCTCAACCCTCCTGAAGGCTACACAAACATGTGCCAGCAGAATCTAGAAGATTTGCCTAACGGTGACATCACTGGAGAATTTACTCCAGTATACTGTGATAAACAGCCAGGCTAGCTCTGTGACCGCATCTCATCCATGGGATGGTGGCTGACAGCAGAAGCAAGGTCAAATGTATCCTGCTGTCCAAATACAGCATCACTTACGCAAAGCTGCACCAGCCTAAACGTGGGTCTGGACCAGCAGACAAACAAGGATGGAGGCACCAGAGCAGTGACTGCAGCTCTCAGACAGGTTTGGCTAAGTTTAATCAGATTGACTGAGCCTACCAGTGGGTCCAGTTTCAGACAGGTTGGACTAAGTTTACCCTGCAAAACTTGGCTGAATCTGTCAGTGCTCACTGCCCACCTGGAGACCTCAGTGTGAGAACACAGGAAGGAGAATGGGGAGAACCTCAGCACACAATCACGAGCCCAATGAGGGCAATTTGAGACACCTCTGTACAACTTCAACCTCCCTGAGTTTGTTTCTCTCTATTCACTGGTATTTGCTTTTAATCTGCAATCCCATTCGTTGCACTTTGCTAAAGAACACTGGGTACCAACCTGCAAACATTCAGCAGGTGCAGAAGCCTGTTCTTGTGGGGCTGGCTGCTCAGCATCCTTCTCCCAGCATCTCCCCACAACCAGCCTCTGACTGCCCAGAGTAAATCACTCCCTGGGAAAGACCAGCTGTGTCTGCCAGGCACTCCTCTCCATTCCAAAATTCATAGCATCACCAAGCTCCCATTTTCTTTGCAACATGAACCTGCTTATGCTCAGCTACTGTGAGCACAAATGGGAAGATGGGCTGAATTTCCTCAAAGGCTGCAAGTTTCTCCCTGAACACTGAATCCAAATATTGGCCCACAAGAATCAATTTAACTCATACCTAGCCTAGGCACCAACTGACTGATGAAGAAACTAATTTCCCACAGGGCAGCTCCATTCATCGTGACACTAAGACAGGTTGTTACCCCCATTCCTCTGTTCAGAAATCCTTTCTGAGAAAAAGAATATCCGTGTTCATCTGTCTCAGAATTTGCTGTGGTGTCAGTGGAGATGTCATTTCAAAAGGTCCTGACAGAGCCCTTGAGGAAGAAGGGCCCCAACATTTGCAGCCCTTGCAGCAGCTGCTTTTCCATTTTGAGAAGGGTTTAAGATGGCTGGAATAGCCCATCTCTTCCCACCAGTCCTGCATTAGAGCCAATGTCAAAAGTTCAGCTGCTAATGACGCCATCAGGAGCTGAATAATAGTTTAAATTCCTTGGGCTAGATTGTCTAGCTGGGGGATCCAAGCAGATCCCATTGACTGGACCCCAAAGACTTAACCAGTGCAGAATCCCACACTGGGCAGCTTACATTTCTTTTACACAACTGCTATGGACCAACATAGTACATAACGCAAAAATGTGTGCTGACTACTGCATATATCAAATCCTCCCCTCATCATGGTAAAGAAATCACCAACTTGTATCCCTGCTTCTCCAACCTCACACCTCCTCCACCATGGGGCTGCAAGGCTGCAGAGCTGAAGTACAGAGAGCACCCCAATCCCCTGGGTGCAGATGCCTGGGGGCAGTTTGCAGCAACTCCAAAAAAATGGCAGAGCCATTAATAACAGTACCAGGAGTGATGCTTTAGCATCTCACATAAAAGTGATTTATGCTTTTTTGCACAGCTTCTAAACCACAACTTAAATGAAGCAGGCAGGTAACTGTAGAAATTAAGGAGCCTGCACTTGCAGGAAAGCTGACTTGCAGTATTTTCAAACTGGAAACATGTGGAAGGCCTCTGGGATCCCTCTGAAGCAGCTAAGGCAGTGCACCTTAAATGGCTGGCCATGGTTTTGCCATGCAGCTGGGTGATTTTCGGGGTGACAGAGCTGCAGAAGGCAGACAATGCCAAGACTGCAACCAATATAGCTGTGAGAGGGTAGAAGACAAGATCCAACTCGCCTATGGATGCTTTCAGCGTGACAGCCAGCTTCACTTAGGGAGATCTAGTCCTACCCCTGAGCACTTACACAAAGCAGCTCTCCAAAACAACTAGCATTTCAGAGCATAGGACCTTCCAGGTGAATGTGCTTCAGAAATGCCCTATCTCCAGCATGTCCTCTACATGAACATCACTGAATAATGCACCTTGCTTGAGATTTAAGCATGTAACAGCAGTGTTCCTTCAGCTCCCACAGGTCTACACAGCTCTTCTGGCACATCTGGAGGAGACACTGTTGGACTCAGAGAGATGTATGCTGACTTCACCAAACCCAAGCTATCCTCTGCATTCACTCCTCAGCATCAGAGGAGAGAAAGCAGCTCAATTTTTTATTTTCTAGTTTTTTAATATTCCAAGTACATAGGAAATTCTGTACATTCCAGATTTGCATAGAAATGCCCTGCTTCCAATGAAGTTTTGTCTCACTTTTCTTTCTGGCCTTTCAGTGTAGAGAATCACAATCAACCCGAACTAGAATCCTTCCAGCACCCAGGAGAACTAACATGGTAAGTTATAAGCAGCTATGCACCCGATCACCGTTGTATCTCAACAGCAAACCTGTTTTATTGCAGCTAATGGTGCTGCTCTCTTGACTTTCCAACAGGCTGGAGAGAATAAATTGCTGCAGTTTATCCCCATACAGCTGACATTCCCACCATGCCATCACTCACAAGCAGGGATCTGCACATTAGAAATGTAACCCCCCACCCCAGGCAGCCCTCAGTCCTCGGAGAGGAGCTGGAGGAGAGGAGACTTTCCACTTCAAGACTCAGAACTGCCTCAGGCTGCTGGCAGCAGGAGCCCCAAAACAAAACCGATTGCATAGAGGTGAGTAACACTTTAACTTCCATCACACACTGACTGTGCTCTCTGGTTACATGCTAGCTGTCTGGGAGGGGGGAAGGAGAAGCAGGAATCACAATGCTCCCCTTCTAGCATGCTGAATTCTGCTCTTACCTGTGGGCTCATCAAGAAATGGCATCTGGGCATCCTGGCAAACTAGGAGCTCCAGACCCTCAGTGTGCCTGCATGCATGAGCATCTCTAACCTCCAAGATGGGCTTAAACATCTCACCTCATTAATGGGTTGGCTGCTTGCAAAATAACTCATCAGTATTTGATTTAGTTTCTTGGGCTGGTTCACACTTGGCTTGGATGCAGGCTCAGGCATTCAGCACAGCATCTACCACTGGGGTCCACAGCCTCTTCCTAAAGACAGCAAAGTAAGCAAAAAGAAAAGGGACAGAGATGCTACAGGAAATAAGCTGTCCAGGAAATATAACTCTTACTTTCAGTGAGTCTTTTCATAGCCCTGGGAACTACCTGCAGCAGAGGTACCGGGAATCACTGCCTATCAGCAGCAGCAGACTGCTCTGACCCTCTAGCAGTGCCTCATTTGCAGCCACAGAAGCTCACAATCCAGCAACAAAGCTGCCATCGTGTGCCTCGAGGACACCTTCCCCGAGTATTCCATGGCAGTGCAGCCCCAGCACAAGGAAGTTTTGCATGCTATCTTCAGCATAACACAGGGATCATGAAAACAAGGGACAGGTGGGGACGGGCGTTTGGAGCCTCCCAACTCCAAATATAAAAAGCAGCTGAGGAACAAGCATTTCCTTGGCAGAGTAGGGAGCAAGGCATACCCAAGGGCAGAACCCGCCTCTTGGAAGAATCTTTGTTCTCTCTGTTGCTTAGATATCAGCTCATCCCTTCCAGATTCTGCTTTTCATCTGGACCGAGCAGCAGGTTTGGGGTATCTGAGAGCTTTTTCTGTAACGCTGTGCTGTCTCTTAGAGAAATACCCAGCTGTTACTTCAAAAGGCAGTGAGAAACTTCACTGGTTCACCTTCACTGCCTGAAAGAAGAACTTCACCCATTTACCAAAATACTGTTAGCAAGCAGTAACTCAGCTTTACCTCTACTACATAACTATATATTTAACCTATGAAACTTTAAATGTATTTACTGATCAGCTCTCTGAACAGAATCAAGCTATGGGGGAGAGGCAAGAAGGCAGAACATCCTGGCGATCCCTTGTCTTGCACTGCAGAGATGCCCCTGTATCATTCCCTTATTTCCAAAGTCTGCAATGGGACCATCCCTCACTGCCTGCCTGGGGCTGCCCCACCACAGCAGCAGCTGCAGTCTGCATCCATTAGGCAGATGGGCACTGCCACCAAACCCAACACACACTGCATGAGGCATTTTTGTTTTCCTGAGAATTTCCAGCAATTAAGCATTCTAGTTTGCCTGCAGGACACTTGAGCAGGAGTTTAGCAGACAACCCATACCCGTACCTCTCCAGCAGATGGAAATGTCAAGTCCTGCTGTATTTTTAGGACTTTTCTACCTAGAAGGTTTGTATGTCAGCTGCCAAAGGGCAGCAACCTGAGCACCCACTGAGATTACCTCAGCAATGAACACAACACCTGGTAGACCTGGGGCCAGCAGCAGCTCAGGCTCAGACCACTGGTGGTTATCATCACATGAACTTTTTACTGGAGACACCTTATCACAAAAGGGAAGCAGAGATACTGTGACCAGAAATCCTTTCCACCAACTAGAAAACAGAAGCAGCAGTGTACAAAGATGAAATGCAATACAGGGCTACAAAAATAAGCCATGACTCACTTTTCTAATGAAACATCATTAAAATCCGAGATTTTGGGCACCGCACCGTCTACAAATATATCATTCTGATTTACTTCAAGTCAAGCACCAGCTAAATGCAGCCCTGGCTTTCTAGCTTGCCTTTGGGTGGAAACGAACATATTCCTCAGCAATGCACTCAGGCTGCTTGACAAGGCCAACAGATTTGTCTGACACAGCTGCTTCCAGATCAAATGCTGCACATGTCACTAAAATTAGACTGATCGTATTCCTGGAGGGGACCCTGCCTGTGCCCAGGGAAAGGCTCCCCAAAGGCAGAGCTCACAGCTCAGCACGAGCCAGGCACACACAGCTCTGCGGAAGCCGAAACGTCACTGCTCATCACTTGAACTTACCTCTTCTCCCCCATGAAACAAGGGAATAGCATTTGCCACTGTCATTAGAGCTGGTCATGAGAGCTGAAAGTCTTCACTTCCTAGTGTTAGAAATAACTGTGAGAGCAGGTGTACGCTTATTTTTCATTTGAGAAACATCTGTGCATCTGTGATTTACCTTTATGCAACATTCTGCTAGCTCAATTTTCTATAAAATGGTTTGGGCTTTAGAAAATTATTTCCTAGTTTCATTTGACTGTACAGCAATGGCTTAATTTAGGCTGCTTGAATAACAACTTTGGGAATTGGCACTTCGAACTGCATCACCTACACCTCAATTCTACAAGCATGTCTCTAAAAGCCAACCACTATGTTGTACAACAGACCCCCATGTTCTGTGCTTTGTGGTGACACTGCAGCACACGTAACAGGGATAGCAGTCCTCTTTCAGAGGTGGTCCCATGACACACCCCAAGTCCCAGCAGTTCTGGATGACTGCACCAGGAGCTGGTGGTGGGCGAGAGCTGCTGGCATGGACTCAGGCTCTCAGACACCAGCAGATGCCCCAGCTTCCCCAGCAGAGAGACCAGAGCCATGGCCCAGCCAAGGCACAGGGCAGGGGACAAGCTGTTACCAGCCCCTCACTCTGCCCCTACAGGAGTCACAGAGAGCCAAAATGACCAAAGGGCAGTGAAAGCAGAGAGAAGAGAGCTTTAAATAACACTTGCCTCACAATGTAAGTGCTTGAAAGGGGAAATCTAGGTTTCATTCTTAATTTGCAGGTCTTAATCCTACACAGGGACTTTGCCCTGTGTGTGAAGTGCTGGCACTGCCCGTCCCTCATGCTGGTGGCTCTGCAAACAGAATGTGTGCCAGTGTGACCACTGCTGGTGGAGCTGAAGCTGGACAGGATTAAGCCCAGAAACACACAGCAAGAATGCAGGCAGCCAGGCAGGACTCAGAGACTCTGGTACATCTCTGTCTCTTCCAGCTCTAAAACACAGGGGCTATTGGGCAGAAGCATTTGAAAAATACGCAAAAGCTGCCCCATCTTTCTTTTTGCTTCTGAGTGCAACTTAGCTATTGGTACCAATCTGCAGACATCCCTATTGAACGTGCTCCCATCTGAGGCTCCATTTTCCCTTTATTCCTGTTCAGTGCAAAGCAGCAAGGTAAAAGTAAATAGGCTTTGGGACAGAAGAGGCTCTTTTTGCATTCATTCAATTTTGGTAATTACTAATATAGTACTGCCATCCCATGCTATGCTGCTATGGCAGTCACATCTCCTACAGTGCTGGTCACAGAAGTTCTGTCTTCGTGAAGAAAGGGGCACACACAGAGCAGGTCAATAGGTCTAGTTTGGGGAAAGCAGTAATACACACAGAAATAACAAGTCATCGTGGAGCACAGGGTAGTAAAACCGTGAGTCATACACAGCTACATGCACTGAGTGCACAATTCAGATCTCCTAAGTCTGCTGCAATGAGATCTCCACCTCCTCAGAAGGTGTGCCCCAATGAAGCACAGAGCTGGCCAGGCTGTGCTCTTCCTTGGCTCCATTAATTTAATCCTCATTATGACTCACGCAAAAGTCATCACTGCACTCTAGGGTGGCCAGGCAGCAGGCTGCCTGAATCTCACTGCCAGAATTCCTACTTAGAGAAAAAACATGGCTGTGGGATGCCTTATGTATTGGGATTGAGGCCATTTCACTATCCACTCCAGGTGTCCATAAGGGCAACGGTATCTTCATGCATTTGCAACCTTCACATGTCAGAAATTCTGGGCACAAAATCCATCTACATTCCTGTAGCCCTGGCACACAAAGAAGTACACAGGTTTTTGGGTTTTTTTCCACAGAAAAGGAAAGAAGGAAATGACTAGGACCTGTTTAACATGGCACCACCAATCTGAGCCCTAAATAGCCTGTGTACAAAACCTCCACTCCTGCAATATCAGGGACCATTACCAGATGAGCACCAGCCCACAGCAGCAGAACCCACAGGCAGAGTACAAACTTCAGCCACAGCACCAAAACCTTCCTGCTGAAGAGCCCCCAAGGTTTATTTTAACAACTCTGGATCCCATGATTTCAAGTGGAGGCTTAGCATCTCTTAAAATAAGCTCCAGGCGTCTTCCTTTCGGTGCTTAAAAAGGGATTTAGTCTCTTGGTTCTAGGAACTCCAGTTTGACTCAAGTGTCCAATATCTGTCGGCAGTTCAGCTGTTATCCAAACAAGGGGTGGGAAAGCCAGGATTTTCCAGCCCTGAGAAACAGCTGTGCTCAGAAGAGGTATGTAACAGGAGGAACAAAGTCAGCTTACAGCCCTGGGCTGCAGCAGCTAGATGGAGACCTGGCTGTGGGCACGCACCCCGCTAGGCGGCCCCCGAGCCGCACCGGGAGCTCTGTGCTCTGCTGCAGGGTTGGACCTGAGAGCTGCAGGGCCACCAGAAGGCGGTGAGAAGGGAGAGATGAGGGGGATCCCTCCCTCCATGCCATGCTGTGAGTGGGACGCATGCCATGAGCAATAACACGTCAATAACGTGCATACTGGCACTGCCTATGGATACCAACGTCCCACTGATTTCATGGCCACGTGAGCCATGCACTGTGAAAATGATCACTATCTCGTCAGGGACAAGTCTTAACCAATTCCAAAATTAAGCTCTGACCTCTGCTTTTTCCCCATATTAAGACTACTGTGATATACGTTGTTATATTCAGATTGCCAGTGTTATTTTCTTGTGACATTCTGCTCTGTACAATGGACAAACTCATTTTAAGCTTTAGCACAGAATTTCAAGCATGGAGACAGTAGACAGTTGTCAGCAGTTGTGCTGCTCTCCATGTCTGAAAGTCTTTGCTAATCCCACAGCAAGCTGTCCTTAGCAGCCAGAGCACCTTTTTTGCCTCTCCTGGACAACATACATGGAAATTCCCAATTGGCTTTCATGCACAATTTTTCAGATACGATTCTAATATCCTAACTACTTGGAGGAAAGCATCACAAACCCAACACACAGAAAATGAGTCTCTGACATAGTGCGCTTCAGTGCCACATCTTCTGAAAAAGGGCTGTAAAAACTGCCTCCCTATTCAGCCGCATTTCTGCAATTTAGGACAAGCATCAGATCCAAACAGGATTTGGCAGTTTCCATAAATATCTCATCAATGGCTACAGCAACCTCTTCAATTCCATTCATGTCACCAACTCACAACTACAAAGTTCACTACTGAAGCGGGGCTATTTCCCCATTTAGCCACTGAGCACAGAAGACACAGAGCTCAAGAAAGAGCTTTTTACCATTCTACTGCCTTTAGGAGATCCTCATTCTTAGCAGTTCTATGTTCAAATCACTGTTAATATGCACAGCTTAGGGTCACAAGACATCCAAGTGCCTAAAATACATTCCCAAAGTTTTAAGACCTCTACAAAAAATGAGTAACAACTTGAGGTATGTGCAGATGGTTTGCAGAATGCATCACTCTAACTGAAGGGTGCTCCCCTGTCTTTCTATTTGAGCCTGTTTTCTAAATGAAACTCATGCTAGTACAATAATTTGATGGCATAGTCTAGGCCTGCCTTACCTCTAAATGTAGATTTAGAGATGTACTCCTTCCCCCTACCCCTAGTTCATAACACAGCGTATTTCAGATCCAGCAGATGCTCGTTTTGTTCCTAAAACAGATTTAATGGGTTTTCCATGACCTAAATACCTGGCAAAAGGGCTCTGTGCAGCTTTAATACTTTCCTAGCCCAGTGTTAAATTTGTCCTAGTGTTGTACATCACATAATTCTGCAGCCATGTCAACTATTCAGGTAATGCTAGAATGTCATCATTATGGTTTATGTCCACAGCATGATCTGTATGTACCTTGTAATCATTCTGGTGTTGGGTTGCAAAGGTCCCCGGACTCTTCATTTGGCTGAGTCTAATTCTGTCCTGCTCACAAAGATCTAGAGTTACACTAAGTAAAGGCTGACATTTACAGAGACACTAAGAGTGCTGGAATGACTCACCAAGGTAAAACCTAGGCTATATATTCTTTCAAGGACATAAGCTGTACAGTGCCAACGTTTCCGCTAACCTGCTGCAGAAAGGCTCAGCAAGGCAAACACAGGCAGAGGGCACGTCATGCATGGAGCTCAGGGAATGCTCCCCTCTGTCATCACAATGCTTCAGGAGCACTCAGGGATGGGATTCCAGGTGACTGAGAACAGGGAGTTAAAGGCAACCTGGAGCAATCACTCCTACCTGAAAGAAAAGGACACATTTCAAAGAGAAAACATCTGCTCAGAGCAACCTGCCAGCACCTGCCTGGAAGCTGAATGACCTCCTCTCATTTTTACAGAGAAGCTGAACTTGTACAGAAGCCTGCTATTTCTATCATGTGAAACCAACTAACAGCATCAGGGCTGGTCAGCATTGCAAAGTCCAAGTACCTTTACTCTCCTACATTCACTCTGCTGTCTGAAGCAGCATCTGCCATCCAATACACTTGAAAGTCTCATGGCTTACCGAATATCAAGAGCCACAGCAACATTTAGTCTCAACCAAAACCAGGAAGCTTTAGACTAAAAATAGTGCCTATTTAGGTGATAAAACTTATAAGCCTTTTATCTATTCCCATGAGCTCTTCTTTATTCAAGTCCAATATCAACAGTGAAAAAAATCCAACACACCTACTAGAAACAACTGTAAAAAATGGAAGAACCACACAACATGGGGGCAAGAGCACAACATCTAAAATGGACTGTGCACATTAAGGATGAGTTTGTCTCCAAACCAGGCTGCTGGCAAGCAATGGGGAATTCAAGGATGGCTTCTGCTTCTGACTGTGGACACTTAAGGCAGCCAGGCACTGACCTACCCATTACAGGGTCTCCCCTTAATTGAACTGGGAAGATCCTGCTCTGGCAAGAGCTTATCCTAATCTTCTTTGAGTGCAGGTAACTGTGACACCAGATGTCACAGCCCAGTTTCACTTGCAAGAATGACAGCCATCATCTCTGGCCACAGACTCTGGTGAGTCAGAAGGTCTTAGCTGCCATCACACCATAAACTAATGCCACAAAACTATGCCTTGAGCACAAATGCAGAAGCTGATGCTATTATTCCTGTTCAGATATTTGCAGTTAGGCATCTCCCTCAATTCAACACTGATCACGGAACTGGAGACATAGCAGGACAGCCAAGAGCAACAGCATACCTACTGGAGAATGAAGTTTTTCACTGTATAGAATTAAAGGGGGCACAGATCATACAATGCAGCTTTGTTAATGCTGTTTCAGTAACATAGGAAGACCTTCAAAGCAGGGATGTTAGCCCAGGAGCTTCTCATCAATGCAAGCATGTCTGATTTTTACTACTTTTTTTTTTTTTTTTTTTTTTAAAGAGCAGAAAAAGAAGAAAAGAAGAAATAAGCCCATTTTCCAGGTCCTGAAAAAGACCATTTACAGGTCCTAAGCAGGCACTGTACTGACTGTTACCTAACAGTCTGCAAGGAGGCAATGCTAGCAGTTCACAGGGATCCATGGTGGAGTACTGCCAGGATTGGTTTGCGGCGGGAACCCAGGGCAACTCAATAACATTGGCTTCCCTTGCTCTTCTCCCACATCCAAGGGTTTAGGATCACCCAGCAGTCCCTGGATGTCATCACAGCACTGCCCTGCTGAAGGGTGCGTGATACAGCCTTGGACAGGAGCCATCCTTGAACTGCTTGAGAGATAACTTAAGAGCAACAATCAGAAGTATGAAGGCCATGGGTGGTCTAAACACACGTGTAACTGCTTTGCTGGACCAGGGCCAAGGGTAACACACTGCAGGTTTGAATGAGACACACAGTGACATGTTCAAATGCCTTAAAGCAGCCCATTGTCCCACATGGCCACCCACAGCTGCTACGTGGCTACACCAGTCAACCCCAACTAGATGCAAAATAGCCTTCAGTACCATCTGTTTCGACAGAAAGCAGGGAAAGAACACATCTTAAATCCAACAATTTGGATCAAATCACAGCAAATAAACCTAGACTGCTGAGATGCCTCCATATCTGTACACCATGCTTTTATCTGCATCCCTTTAGGCACTCAATTTAAAATACAGAAAAGCCGTAATAGAACTAAGGAGCCAGGTTTAACAGATTAATTCTGTACTTTGCATCAGTATCAGCAGCCTTGGTTAAATGTCCCCAGGCTCTGGAGGTGACCTGAGCCTATTCTCAGATATTAAGAATGCTACTATAGTGTTGCAAGGAGAACAAGACAGCACTACAACACTGATTTATCCTTGTCTTTCCAGGTTAACAGTGTAAATCCAAAAGCTCAATCTCCTTGCAAACCTCAGCATCCTGGCAGGGACAGGGGAATGTCACAGTAAGTACAAACATTCTTGGGTCAAGTATATTCAGACTCCTAAAGCCTTTGTCTCCACCTCACAATGTTTATTCTTCCCCACACTCTAGGAAAAAGTGGAAACCCACCAGTGTTTTGCTGACCGTTGGTTTCTCAGCCAATGAAGTCCCCAGTAGCCATTCGGTCCACCAGAGTTCCACTGCTTCAATTCAGCCATTATCTGCTGACACTCAAAGAGTTGTTCACATGTTTTTAAAATTGTCATTTACGGTATCTGAGAAGTATTTTGGATCAGTTCACAGCTGTATTCAAATGATGTGGCAAAGGTCATCAGGAATAACAAGATATGGACCCTAAGCCCTGGAAAAGCGATTTCTGGCTTGGAACATTTCCTAGCCAGAACTGCCAGGAGAACTGATGGGGCAGGGAGAAGAGTGCAAATAACTGAGTGGCTGCCACACAGCTTAGCCATTTGTCAGCTTCCTTCACAGATTCGCTTCAGAATAGACAGTTGGTTTAGAGCTGAGGCAAGAGCTGGTGAATTCAGACTATTTAGAGAGAGACTGACATCTGAACTCAGGCTGGAAAAGAAAAACAGAACAAGTTGGGTTATTTTGGAGGAGACAGAGACTATATAAAGACCATTACCCCAGCAAAACAAACCCAAGCATTTCAGTTGCACATTGCAATTACTACATACACCAGAGATGCTCTGGAATCAACTAAGCCAGGTAGGGATCTCTGTAGAGGGGGACAACTACTGGAAAACAACATTGATCTTTACACAGAGTACACAATGTAGGCAATGAACTGCCTCACAACATAAGACCAGAAACACCAGTTACCAGCTCCCTTTCCACTGATTTTGTGCTAACAGTCCAATGAGTCATTTTCCCATGGAGCACTTGAATGGAGAACTCTCCATGGGCTATTTATTAGGTCCGAGCACGAACAAAGATAAAACACTTCTTTCAAATAAAGTGCCAGCGACACAAACAAGCTTCTGCAGATCAAAAATTCAAACTAAAAAAAATTGCTTTTCTTCACTACATACAGATGCAGAGTCCCTCAGGAAGCCTGACTGGGTCTCCCTATGGAATCACACCTGTGTTTACAAAGGTAACAAGCACTCATCAAACAGCACAGCTCCCCCTGCAACTTCAACTGCTAGCTTTAGATCTCAAGTTGTCTTGTTCCACGAGAAAAGAGGCTGGAACTTTGGTTCACTTACATTTCAAAAGAGCCAACATGCTTCATTTGCAGTGCCATCAAACAAGCATCTTAATTGGTAAATGATTCAGACTACTCACATGAATTCATCTCATTTGTTTCCTACCAAGAAGGCTGAAGTGGGAACCTCTCCCTTATTATGTTATGTTCACTGCAATACATATTTATTTTCCTACATTTTTATTTTCATTTAAATGCACACATCAGCCTTTTAATAAGCACTGGTCTGCAGGTAAAAACCACCCACTTCAAACACATCTAGAATTAAACCAATTATTGTATATAAAAAAAAAAAAACAAACCCAAAAACAAAAAAGCGAGAGAGGAGAACATCTCAATCACAGAAGGTTGCACTATTCCCTAATAATTATCTCAGTAGGAAAATACTGAGGTCAGCCACCTAACTCCAATTTTTCCTCCCCCAGGGTCTGCAAAATGTAAGAGCTACAAAAGGGCAATTAGTGGTATTTGAATGCCGTGTCCATGCTACACCCACCTTACAGGTACACTGGTACAGAGAATACGATCAGATAATAGATTCTGCAGACTTCCGAATACTACGAAAAAGTAGGTATTGCTATGCCTGTCTGATGTACAGTAGTCTTATTGGGACACTGACAAAAAAAGAACAAGACTTGCTTCCAGTCTGGCATTCTTAATCATTCCATTTTTCTCTCTCTTATTTTGAGCAGAGGCTTGTTCATCATCAGTTCCTGGTAAGTATGCTGCACGTTTCTTTGTTGGAAAGCACATCAGTTTAGTACCCTAAGCTCACTTTCTTCCTCCTAACCCAATTTAAAACAATAGTGTTCAAAGAGTAGCCAGAAGACATTATGCAGTGCCAGGCAAACAGCTTTGGTTTTGACACAAGCACCTGAAAGGCCCTGATTTATCCCATAACAATGAAGAAGTGCTCCTCACATGCCTTTTCCATCACATTTTTGCATTTTATTGCTGCCAAGCCCATCACTAATTAACAGTCATTTTGCAAGGACTAATTTCTTCCTATAAACATTTGGCTTTTACTGTACAGCAGCGTGTCTGAATTTGTCATTTCAGAGGAAGTCTGCACCCTAGTTATTACAGAAGCTTTTCCAGAGGATTCTGGAATATTTAAATGTGTTGCTGAAAATGAATTTGGATCTGCAGCATCCAGCGCACGCCTTTCAGTTTCCCCAGGTAAGCAGAACCTCTGAGCTGAGCAACTGAGCTTGAGAGAATTTGCTGCAGCTCAGCATCAGGCAGTCCCAGACTTTTACCAAACAAAATCCAGACCCGAATGCTTTCATTGACTCAAAGAGAAACAGCCCTAATGCAGCTTGCTTAGGTGCTTCTCAAAGATGAATGCAAGTTGTTCTACATTTCTGCTTTTGCCTTTCTTCCTCACGGGTCAGGGTAAAGATGACAGGGTGGGAATGCTGTTCTGTCACCAAGGAGTTTCATTCCCGCACTTCATCCCTTCAGGAACCCCAGCTTAGCTCAACACACCACCTGTACCTACACCTTCATTACTGTAACACACACTTTGTCTGGCTTGTGTTGAAAGCCATCTCCAAACAGAACAACCCCTCATGTGTAAACCAAAGTCACCAGCCTCAGTTTGGCTAACACAGCTGTGCAGCTTTGGGCTTAAGCAGAGCCCGGGAAGGTTGAGCTCTTGTCTACCAAAACACCCACCCCAATTTCACTCCAGCATGCTGTATTGATGAACCTCCACTGCTTTCTGCCTGAGTTGTGGATGATTCTCCTTTTAGGAGCAAAAGAACTGGATAGCTTTGCAGGTGCTGCCCACGTGCCAGCTGTGCAAGTCACCATGAAGAAACCCAGCTTTGCCAGGAGCAGCCAAACTGCAGCCAAGGACAGAGACATGCCCAGCCTGCAGTCCTACAGCACAGACACACCAGGGCTGGGCAATCGAGCAGAAGCCACAAACTTTGGCCAGCTAAACTCAAAGAGTGAAGCTGAAGATTTTCATGGAGTTTATGAGAATTCACCTCAAAATTCACCTCTGCGGTAAGACAAAGAGAAAAATACATACCTTTATTTTTACATCCTACATAGGGAACGAACTCACCATAGCAAAGGTCCTGTGCTCCATACCCTTACAGCTCAAACATGCACTTGCAGCAGCCTGAACCGTTTCCCTAAATGACAGCAGGAGTGTTCAACATCAGCTTAGCTACAGAACAACACAGGTTTGATTGGCAAAGTATAGAACAACCTACAGGCTCAAGTAGGTGCATAATGCTATCTGCAGAACTGCCTGTCTGTAACTTTAAAAGTGTGACCCCAAATCAATAGCCTCTGGAAGGCCTCAGGCTCCACAACAGAGCACAAAGCAAAGACCATAGCATGTAAGAAATCTCAGGTCACCACTCTGTCATCACCAAGTTCCTCTGTAGCCTCCTGGCATCACCTCCTGTTCCCATTTACGATCTTGGCAACCCCATCCTAGATTTTCGCAGTGTTTTCAAGGTGCTTATTGGCACAACATAGAGCTCCAACAGTGAGGGCTGAGAGTCCCAAGCTCAGCGCTGCAAAGCAATTTCCTCCATTCTGTTAGCAAAGGAGAGGCCATGATGTGCCTCCTCTCCCTGCCAAATGCCAGCAATGCACTACGGCAATCCCATGACACTGTGTGGGAATGGCTGTCCGTGACCAGAAGCATTCTCTGTGCTATAGATTATTTTTGGATGTACTCAGCCACTTTAACTAAACCAGTTATCTTAACAATCCTGAACACTCTCCTCCAAACACTACTGGAGAGATCATATTTCAGTACAGAGCTCTCTGAGCGCAGGAACTTTTTACTACATCACTGAGTAAAAACAGGGTTTGCTTCAATAACCTGCAGATATCCCTCACTTTAGCACCAAGCCCTCCCAGGCTGAATTTCTCCAGTGACATCAGCTGGGGCCCTACAAAGAGCCTACTGCTGAATCAAGAAGGTAATCAGCAGCCAAGCTGCAGACAGGTTGCTTGCAGCCTGTGATGAAGCTGTGTGTATGCCATCATTGCTTTCAAATATCACAGGCCAAGCATGGGAACACAGCACTGGGTTTGAGTCAATTCATGCTCAACTACCCCAGTCCAATCCTAAAGATTAAGGTGAATTTTCTTCAGAGTGTCTAATGCAGAGCTGCACTGCTTGTAAGCTTTACCTGATAGTTAGCTTGAGCAAGAGCAGACACTTAATTGTCTACCAATCAAAAATGAAAGCTTTTCCAAAATACCTGAAAAACCTCTTAGGAGTAATGGGAGCAGCTGGAGACAGATGCTGGCCCTCCTCTCAGAACAGGACTTACTTTTTCATCCTCCCTGCAGGCTGCTCACAAGCATTCCTAACCAGTGACCTGCAAGGAGGCTCCTTCTGATGAGACTCACTACTGCGTTTATTGCTTGTGCCTGATGTCCTGCATCAACAGATGTAACATACCACCAAAATCAGATATGCAATAGCTTCTACAGATTTTGTTTATAGGAAATGTTAACTAGCATAGAAATCCGCAGAGCACTTGCAGCCATCAGCAGTGCTGAACCACATTTTGGAAGGCATGAATATATACCTCAAGGCACAGAGAAAAAAAAAAACACAAGAATTTCTAGAAGCATCCATCAATAAGCATTTAAATATTTCTGAAACAAACAGCCTTATTGCAGTGTGCTCTGAAACAGCATTGTGAATGGGACTCAACATTGCACATTGCTGTTAAAAACAATTAATGAATCACCTGTAACGATTAGCTGTAAAATAATGTTAGACAGATTCAGCCATATAACTAACACATAACACATATGGTTGAAACTCTTACCAAAGACAAAAAGAAACTCCTGACCATATCAGGATGATAGGACAAAGCTACTACTGGGAACAACTCTAAAATGAATGAAATCTTTGTAACTCTCAATTTTCTTGCTTAGCAACAGCCACTCCATGAAAGCCAGAAATGCAGTTTTAGAGGAGCACAGCTCCCATTAGTCCTTTTGAGCCCTTTATACTTATAGTTTACAGCATCCTTCCCAACAGCCTTAAATAAAGGGACCAAAACCAGCCCTACTAGACTCCATACTGATTATTAAGTTAATATAAACCACTTAATCAAAGCAAAATAAGAGGTTTCAGGTGTTTTAGATAGCTTTTACAATTCCTCAGTAAATAAACAAAAGATTCCTAGGTTTTTTTTTCCTTGTACATTCGTTGCTGCATCACTTGAGGTACCAGGAGAACCTGCTCACATGCAGTGTGTCACCAGCAATAAAAAGGAAACTGAAATAGTACAGAAAACCTCACCTCAGCATCTGGTCAAGCACTATTAGGCTCCCCCCAACATAAGCCATCAGATTTACCCTCTGCCTTCCATACTTGAGCTTCTAGTTCCTTCAAGTTTCTTTCCTACCTTCTGGATCTCACACACTTCTGTTCTTTCTCTCTCACACAAGTCGTGCCAGTTGTGTGCAGCCATTTAAGCACAAAGCTACCCTCCAACAGAAGCCTTGCAGCCCACTTTAGTCCAGAAAGCAGAACACTACACTCTCACTAAAGCCCATGGGAAGGCAGAAAACCAATCTGCACACAGAGCTGGCCTTCAGCTGCTCACAGCTTCCTACAGAACAAGCCTTCATGCCACACTTACCCTCCTTTGTTTATTTTTTAAACTAATCAACTCTCCCTGTACAAACCACACATTGTCTATTTTAGCTAAAACAGCAACAACCAGAGCCATGCTCCTTCCCTCTCTGCCTTTCACCAGAAGGAAATGAAAGAAATTAGCACCCAATCAACACCTGCTTGTAGATATTGTCCACAAATGGTGAGCTGATGCTTAAATAAGAACCCTCACCGCAGGTTAACTCAGAGATGGCTGTACTGGAGGACTCACCTTGCAAGGCTGGGCCCGCACGGCCCGGCTGCAGTTTGGAGGTTTTTTAAACAATAGTATGCATGTTAGGCAACGGTTGCTAAACTATAATTAAGATACTTAAATGCTAATTTAAGATGCAATTAAGCACTGCAGCCTTTGATTAAAGGCACACAAATCACCTAATCTGCCAGCAGGATCTAGTGAAAGCAGCCTGGCTGGCCCTCCTGATCCAAGTTTATATACATAATAATAGCCCTAAACAGCAATATATCATCAAAGAACACTTTACCACCAAGCCCATTTAATTGGTATTATTCAGTTTATGAGTGACTCTTCAGACACACGTGGTTATTCCACCACCAGCAGCATTACTGTGTGCTACAGTGTGCAGCACAGGGCGCTGCCAGCTGTGAGCAGTGCTGCAGTGTGCTGCTCACTGCTGCCTTTCCAGCCCTGACAGCTGGCTTTTCCAGGGTGTATGCAGCCCTGAAAGCAGTACCAAGTTTTAATCACTACAATTAGCTGCTGCTAGTTATGGTAAATGAAGAAAGAAGGAATTTCACTGAGCTACTCAACAAAGCAGGACTTAGGGGGGACTCTGTGGGCAGGTCTCACCATTGCCCACAGTGTGATTTGCTGACTGCTGGCACCTGCCAAAAAATGAGGTTCTGGCCCATAAATAAAGTGCCCTCAGCAAGGGCTGGGTTGGAGACTCTTATTCTGACACTGGCAGGAGGACAGGCAGGTCCAGCAGTGTCATTTGCTGGCAGCACATTAAAGTCTCTGGTCTTATAATGCTACGCAGAGGGCTACTATGACAGTCTGTGTCAGTGAATGACGGTCCCTTCCCAAAATACGGGTTAAAGCCCAGGTGACAACTTCTAGGCTGTAGGTAAGGCTTTTTTTTTTTTTTCCTCAGCACTTTTTATTGCAAATCTGGTTAGTGAGTTAGCATGGGAAATTACACTGTGCTGGGTAATACTGAGATAGAAGTAGAAACGTACCTTTAAGGTACTGTAGTGTCAAATGTAATGTAGAAGGCAAAGAAGGGGGAAAAAACATTGAAAAAGCAAAGTGGCTCTTACTGCTTCTTCTTGTCATCTTGTAAGGTAAAAATCTGTTTGGATTCTTCTGTTTCCACCCAGAATGTGGTGGAATGAGGGAGGGAATATAACTTACCCCTCGGTGTGAGGAGCGGATCTGTGCGTGGTGGGGCAGCAGCTCAGGGTCTTACAGAACTGTAGTGTTCTAGGAAGGTCTGTACAGAGCCTGTACATAAATAGATTGAATCTGTACACTGATGTCAAAGCAGAATAAAAACAAGATTTGACCAGTTTTCTGCACCAGTGAATGAGAAGGTAGTTTGGATACGCTTCAAAAAATCTGAGCTGGCTTCAAATTCCAAGAACACAACCAGGGGAAAATTAGGGAATTGTTACTGTGAAACCTGTTTACTTATTGTTAATTTACAACTAGTGTTTGTAATTACCTTTAGGAAATGAAAGCTTTGAAACTTTATAAGACAGACAAGAGCAGTGTCTTCAGTTGATTCCCTCCCCTAGGAATTTCTCACCTCTTTGGGCTCTCCAATGAGAGGAATACAATATACTGTGTATATATAGCAGCTAAACAGCTGATCTCAGTGGGACAAGATTACAATTTTTTCCAGCACATGTAACTGTGTGGATTTACATTCTCATTTTTTATTAGTAACTTTTCATTTATTTGGTGGGGGAGGAATTGGTATTTAATTATCTCAGAGCTGAAGTTAGTTGCCAGTCCTCACAAACTTACCCAGTTCACTCAAATGAAACATTCCTGTGCTGTGAATTGATAGGATACCTACATTTAGATATCAATGGCTTCCAAAATAAATGGAGGACCCCTAAGCAGCTTGCCCTACTTCATCCTGAAGCTATGACATTCCAGGAGTTATGAGCCAGAACAGCAAATCTCAGGGAATGGCTTCCAACAGAGAAGCGTGGTCTTCAGTATTCCAAGTCCCAAATCTCAATTTGTTACATAAAGGTCTGAATTCAAAAGCTCCCGGAGAAGAAATCAGGATGCTTGATTTCCAAAGTTTAGTTTTAGGTAGAAAAGAAAGTGGAACTTGTTTCATGCTTCCCTACAGCGTAAGGAATTTCTCAGCACAAATAACCAATTCAGCATATAATAGTATATACAAAATTTTGTCAGGGTATGAAGCTGCAGGAACCAGAGACCTGTAGTTAAGATGATACACTGCATATTGCTCTGCTTAGCAATAGTATCTCCAGCTGTCTGTAAATTTGGTGAGGGGTTATTGCAATAAATGTAGTGTCATTCCTTTTAGAATTGAGAGGGCTCTTGCAGATCAGATAGCTGTGGTGAGCTCCGCAGCTGGGTCTGATAGAGTGTGTGACTCCTTATTGTAACCTGAAATATTTGTATAAATCTAATCAGTCCTAAATCTTCTTATTTTAAGCTTAAGCTTTAACTATCAGCTGCCTGAACATCGTATTCTTTGGACTGCTAATGACTGCTCAAAACAGAGTTGTTCTGCCATTGAAATTCTGATGTACCATTTATTTTATCTGTATTGTCTTCCTTAAGGGAAAATCCACTCCAAGAAAGCCTCTATCCTGCAAGGCCAGGGTTCCATTCTATTCAGGAGCCCAGCCAAGAAAGCTTTTGTGGCCTGCCACCTAGTTTTTACCAGCCACCCACCCAAAGCCAGTTGTCACCAACCAAAACCCAGGACAGCCGTGAAAGCTCTCCCATGAGTGTCCGTAATCTCCCATCCGTTTCCTCTATGTGCCAACCAACCATGTTTAACTACGAACGTCCAAAACATTTTATCCAGTCTAAGAATGTGTGTCAAGGGCAACAGCAGCCTCCAGGATCCTCAGCATCTACAGAGTCAAGCAGGCAAATCAAACAGTCCTCCATTCTAATCCAGCCTCGTAACCCTAGCGGGCAGAAATTCTCCTCCTCGTCATCGCTGAGCTCTTCAATCACGCTCTCCTCACCCTCCTGTAGTGCCCCTAAGGAATCCACATATCCTGTCACACCTGCATCTGCGCAGTCTCCTGCTAGCTCATCATCTGGGCAACGGCTTATATCCATGCCTAACCAAACCCCCGCAGCATTCCTGTGCTCAGTGCTACCCTCGCAGCCTGATTTTAACAGCCAAACGCCTCCTATGGAACCTCAGTAAGTATACACAGGCTTCTAACCTCCCCTTGCTTTCATCTGGCCGGGCTTCTCCCGTGTACTGACTGACCCGAACCCAAACCTGTGGTGAAGCCAATGGGACAACTCCCACTGACTTCTGATGCGTGAGGCAGGGCTTTGCATGAGCAGAATGAGCCAAGTTAGGAGGCTGAGTGCTTGCCCTCGGTGTCTGTGGGTGTAACTGAGGGTTAAGCTGCATGGCAGTCAAGTCATGGGCTGCTCTGCAGGTTTGTTGGGCTTAGTTTGAACAGCTGATTTTGATTTGAGGCAATCAGTTGATTAATGGTAGGCAGAACAGAACATAGACATAGGGCTTACGAACAGGGAGGAAGGCAACAGTAGTTCCTACATAACTTTAAAATTTGGTCTCTTCTCCCAGTAAGTAGCAACAGGACAAAAGGTAATGGCCTCAAGTTGCACCAGAGGAGGCTCACGCTGGATATTAGGAAAATTTTTTTCCTCTGAGAGAGTGGCCAAGCATTGGAACAGGCTGCCCACAAGGAGGTGCTGGAGGCAGTATCCCTGGAGGCATCCAAGAAATGTGTGGATGTCACACTGAGGGATGTGGGTTAGTGGAAATGGTGGTGATGGGTTGATGGTTGGATTGGATGATGTTAGAGGTCAATTCATTCTGTGATACCTTGTAAGCCTCGGCAGTATTTTCAGGTTCCAGCTCATGATGAGCATCTACAATATCTACAGTATAGTCTTCATTAATCATATGTGCTAGCAGAAAGGCAGCCACTTTAAATTTTTACCCCTTAAGACCAAAGACTAAATTCTTTCCTGAATATGTATTATATCATTTTGCCTTTGGGCTGCAATCCAAATACCTTCCAAGGTCAGTGAGATCTCTAAGGGAGCTGGGTCTTGCCTTCTCACCAACTTGTCTTCCTGCCAGTACTAGCTGGGGACCACTGAAAGTCAGTGTAGCATATCCAAGAAACATGCAACTGAGGATATTAGAAAGGTGAAGAGGGTAGAGGGCTCCTGCTGATTTGAATATGAATTCAGGTTTAAGTGTCAGTTTGTATTCAGGAAACCTGAATGTTTCTGGGTCTTTTTGAAGCACAGCACTGAGGGAAGCAGGAAGGTAAGATGAAGCAGGTTAGCTGGGATGCTGAGAAGCAGTTTTTAAAAGCACTGCAGGACTGTTTGTGGGTTAGGTATGCATCTGGAGCAGCTGATGAGTTTTGTGTACATAGTGGAGGATTTCTGTTTCCATAGTAAGGGGCTTTGCTGCCTCACTCTGCCTTTCACGTAAGCTGCTCTGAAGAATTAAATGCAATGTCCTGTGAGTTGAGGAATTATTTTCCTAATCATTATACAAATGGATAAAAGGGGACATGAAACTTATTAACCTGTTGGGCAGAATATGAAGGCTACTAGGTTATAAATTGTGTGAGCTATTAAGCCCAAGTAGTACTGAAACACATAGGAGAGTTATAACTGTTTTGCTCTACTAAACTCCCAAGCAACAGGAGTGAGAGGATTTTGGATAGAAACAACTGTGGAACATAACTGCAGCATTTGAGGTCCTGCTGCACTTAATGATCTGGTTTAGGTCCTGCCAGAGCACTGTGACCTCTAGGAGACCTTCACAGCCTGTTTTGAGGGATGCTTCTCTCTTCATAAAGGAAACTTTTCAGAAAGTCTAACTTGTTACTATAGCCAAGACTTGATTGACTCATGAGTATGGGTTACAGGGTCAGGCTTTGTGGGAACTGTAGCTTGGGCTTCTAGGGACTCCTGTGGTTATCTTGGCTCTGGAACATCTGAACACAAATGCTTCCAGCAGCCACAAAGTATAGAATAATTAATAAGCTATTTGTTCACACGTAATGAACTAGTTTGTAATCCCGTTGTGGATTTCCAGCTCCCAAAGCCTTGTTTTTAACAAATGAAATTGTAAAGGAGTGCAATTTTTGCTCCTGGACAGGCTCTCCAAGCTCAGTGCAATTAATGGTGCCCTTAAAACACTGCTAGTCTGACTGCACATACCCCAGCCAGGATGGGAGCTGCTGCACGATTTAACAGTCCAGAATGGAGATATGCAGCAAGCTATTGAGACAGTGGGGGGGGGGGGAGGGCACTGCATGACATGGTTAGGCGATGATTGCTTCCCTTTTTCATCTTCAGTTTTACCACCTGGCCTATCTATCTCCCAAATGCTTTACAGGTTCATTTGAACCACAGCTCCTAGGTAGCAGATTGTCATTGTGTGTATTTTGTAGAACCGTAATGAAACAAGCAAGCAAGCCTACAGGAGTAATTTTGCTTTCTCTTCCTGTGTGAGTAGTTACTCAAAACCAATGTACAAAAAACAAGCTAGCATCAACTCCATGCAGAAGACATCTGACCAAGAAATCAGAGGAACAAAAGAGGCCCTCATCCAAGATTTGGAAAAGAAACTCCGATGCAAAGACAACCTTCTCCAGAATGGCAACCAGGTAAGGGAAATTCCTTGTTAGTGCAAGAAAAGATGCAGAGACTGGCTCTAGGATCCCAGAGGCTGGAGTCTCCAGACTTATCAGAAAGCAAAACGAAGTACAGGAACAAGTGGTGGAGCAGCAGCACATGGTTAGGGATTGATGAAAATTGGCCTGAAGGTGTAGCAAGAGAAACAGTAGCTGTCAGCATGTATGTATGCAGCTACTGTGGCAAATGAGAGTCTGCTTTTGCTCGGACTACAGTAAGGGAGGCATTGGATTCTGAAAGCCATCTGACACAGCAAAGGTGTCTTAGAGCTGCTGTTGCTTTTCCCTCTCATCCCAACTTCTTGGCCAATTGACCATTCAATTGATCTGTGAATTTGTGTGATCAAATTAATTAGGCTAGTATCAGGAATAAGGTACATGTACAGGAGAGACGGGCATGTTTGGAGCCATGGCACAAACTTCAACTTTCTCTTGAGAATCTTGCTGAATGTCACATCCACAGACAGCAGAAATCCAAAAAGAACCCATCAGTTCTTCAGACACAATCCGAGCTTGAGTTCCAACACTGGGGTTGATAGACTTCCCCAAATTGTTAGAAAGTTGGAGAAATACTCCTGCATATGCAAGAGGGTATCACCACACGTGCTAAACCTCTTTGATTTCTCTTAGATAAATGATAACAAACCAAATAAAACACACGACCTTTTATCATCAGTGGGCTACAAGAGAGTGTTAAACTCAGTGCTTAGCTATTTACACTGTGAAGGGACAACAAACAATCCCTGTGGTCAAGAAATCCAAATCTGGTAGGAGAAAAAAAAATGGCTTACCAGTAGGGAAGCACATTTCAGTAGCATGTTGGAGTCAGCAGGTCTGTAGTGCAGGAACCTTGCTTCTGGCTGAAGGCAAACTAGTAAAATCCCAGGGCTTATAGTCTCTGTCCTCTTTCCCCTGAAGTAGAAAGGAGTTATACCATTATTATCAGTGGAAATGGATTTGTGTCATATATAATCTTAAACATTGAAGGAAAAATATTAGGTCAAATATGAGTTAATGTCCCTAACAGGAACACCCTATCTGCTGTAACAAAGTTTGCCATTGCAAGCCAGTGTTTCTTCCAATAGGAAGCCAGGCTAAAAATAAGGCTTATGCAATCACTGCTGTGTCCTCCTCCCTTTGTCCTCCAACAATGTCTGAGGCAACTGACTATCTCAGCCACATCTGATGCAGCAGTGAGCTTAGGGAGACTCTTACAAGTCTTTATTTCTTCTAAGGAGAGCCTTCCCAAATCCTTATCTACACAGGAATAATCACATATATGTCCTGTACATGGGGTACACAAGAAAAAATTGTGAGAAACTCAGTTCTAGGTGCTTGGTATTCACAGAACTAACATGCTTAATCTCCTCCAAAGTAACCAAACTGGGAGACCTTGCATTTAACTCTACTTGTCTTCGTCCCCATGTGCTGTACTCATACTTTTGGAACTTACTGTTACATGACCAAAACATTCTGGCCTCCCCTCTGAATGGCACACAGCATTTCACAAGGTAGCTACTTTGCTGGCATAAAGCTCCTGCGTGCTGTTAGGGCTCTGGTGTTCCTCTCCTCTCTTTTTGGGAATAGGGGACACTAGCACCTAGCCTCCAGCTCCTGAATTAAATCCACAGCTGAGTGACTTGGAAAGTTTTCCCAGCACTAACAGAAAGATACCCTGGGACTCTGGCTTCTGAGATAATGCCATCAGTTACCCATAAATAATCACAGAGCAGAGAAGGAGGCGTGGAAGGCCACAGATGGCATTAGGGAGGCTTTGATGAACAGGCAGTTTAATCTTTTATGCATTTTGTTGCTGTATATATTGAGGATGACTTCAGTAGGCATCACAGACTGCAAACCCACTGGAACAGGCGTAGTGTTTCTATTCAGACATTGCTTTCATTGAGAACACATTGACTTTGTGGTATATCATTGTGCTTTACAAGATTAACTGAAATAGTAAATGGACTTATAACTAGAATTCCTCCATGTTCTGCTCTAAGCGATTAACTTATGAAGAAAGAATGGCTCGCAGGCTGCTCGGACCAGAAAATGCTGCATCTGTGTTTGAAGCACAAAGTGAAGACGCACAGAACGCACAGGTAAATGGGGGCCTGTCTCGAGAGGGGTAATTTCCTGCTGATTGTGCTGTGAACTGCTTGTGCTTGAAGAGAGATAGGGCTTTCTTGGTTCCAGCACAGGAAAGGGAGGGGGGAAAGTTTTGTTACCATAACTCTGTATCTTTTAGGTTTTGGGGGGTGATTGTGGAGAGGGTTGGAGTTTAAGCACTGAATACTGGCAGTACTTCTACCGTCCCCTTGCTGGGCCTGATCTGTAGGAATGACCTCTCTAGGGAGGAATTACAACAGCTGCTGCCCAGCACTGTGACAGGCAGGGAGGACAGTGAGGGATCCAGGTACCCACTCTAAGAGCCTGAGTTCAGACTTGGTCAGCACAACAAGATTTACACCTGTCACCCTTTGGAATAAGTGACATTGACTGCAAGAGGTCAGGGCCCTGGGGTGGCACTGGTGAGGTTTTATCCCTTTCTGAAGCCAACAATCACTAAGAGAAGACAAAGCAGTTATTTTAGCAGCCCACATACTGGGAGCCAAAAATCTATTATGACTGGCATGTTCATAAACATTTTAGCAGGCGACTTGCATCATTCATTGGTTATTCAGAACAGGCCAGCTAAAAGCTCTCTCTAGCACTTCTCTGATGAAAGTTAGTGGAAATATCTGTGATGTGGCACTGGACATCTGAGCTGCCAAAGAAAACATCCCTCCTGCTGCAGGCATGCAGACAGCCAGCAGGCTGGCATCCACCTTTCAAAATGCAGTTAGCAAAACTCAATGCAAGACGCATTTAAATCACTTAAAAGAGAAATACACACAGCTATTTCTCCCCAACAATCACCTGACAAGAAGGGAACATTATGTCTATCAGAGACTTTTTTTTTTTTTTCCCAGAGAATAATGAAACATTCGATCAAAGCAGGATAGCTAAGATTGGTCAAAGTTGAAATGCTCCATAAAAAGCAGAAAGAGAAACTGGGTTATGCTAGGGAAATTTTCTTCTCATCGTTCTGACTTATTTTTAAATACTGCAGTTACTGATTCATTCATCCTCTCATTCCTCAGGAATGTAACTATGTTGTCAGTCCATATAATACAGCATCAGAACTATCAGCAGCAACTTCCTCACCACAGCAACATCTCACAAGACAAACAGCCATTGTACAGTACCTGTGTAAATGAGCAGATACAAGCAATTGTCTTTGGAACACAAGTCCAACTAACCCTTTCAGCTTGTGATGCTTCCCCTGAACTGAACTTTGCATCTAGGTTTGAAGTTTAAACCCAAGCTTAAGTGTTCCACAGCAATGGAGTGCAACAGGGTGCAGAACCAAGCACTGTAGTGGCAAACACTCCAGAAATTTCCAAGCAGTATCTGATTCCATAGCTAAAATGAGTCACTGGTAGTAAACCCTGCTTGTATTTTCCAAACATCCAAGGTCCTAGCAGGAATCGGTCTGGGGTCCTTTAGTAGAGGTACCATGTGATTTGGAGTTGTCAGTAAGCTTAGTTGGCGCTGTGATCTAGAAAGAAAAATATTTTCCAGCTCAGCATGTGTTCTTTGCTACTGGTACCATATTTAAGTGGCACAATGCAATTCTTGCCAGTGATTCCACTTCTATTCCTGCTATTGGGAAGGACACTCCGTACTGAGCTCTCATTTTAGATACTGCCAGTCTCCCCTGTAACAAAGGTTATTGGCTTGCCAAAGGCCCAGTGTGCCAAACAAAGCTGCAGCACCTATCACCTGTACAGAGTGATGAGAAGCTGTCCCACTCTATTAATAGGGCTTGCTGGCATGGCAAAAAGTCTAGAGTGAAAAAAGGGCACATTATCTTCTGCTGTGAGTTTTGTTACATCTTAACCCAACAACTTTTTGAGTAGTCAGTCTGCTTAAAATGGCTTCTCATTCAGCCTATATTCTCTTAAGTTAATTCAATTTTTCTCTTCTTTCTGAGCACCAGAATGCAGAAAACATCAGGCTGCAGGTTCCTACAACACACGTAAGGTAATGCATAAAAGCCGGTGCTGCGTGACTCTTTGTGACTTACTTCAAATATTTCTAGGCAATGCTAGCATTGCTTTTCTTTTTCTGTTGCTAAAGTACTTTTTCTAAAGTAGTAATTACTAAATTTTCATTTCTTTCAACTAAACACAGCCATTTGTGGATAATGGTTGATGCCTGTGGTCTTAATCCAGTCAATTCTAAGCACAGCATGTTGAACTGAATAACTTGAGCAAGATAAGTGGTTGATCAAAACTCGTGCCTTACAGCTGAAAAACAAGCTTGGTCTGTACTGCTGCATTCCTAAGCCTCTTGAGGGACTCAGTGCTTCAAAGTGATCTGTGCTATGGTACATTTATATGAATAACTGTTACTGTCTTCCTCTTAGGAGCAGACCATCCTCCAGAGGAGATGAACGTGGACATGACTCAATCCAGGAAAAGTTCTTCCAACCACGATTTACACAAGTGCCAGAAGATGTAATTATTGAGGAGGGACGATTCTGCAGGCTTGACTTCAAAGTAATACCAGCCTTTCACTTTCACTCCCCTTAGCTGTGTGGTGTACGTAGCATGAGCAGGGGTCTCTGAGCTGCAGTGCCTGTGTGGCTCAATAAGCCAGAACACTAACAGCAGATTTCCCAGGGTCTCCCTAGGCAGAAGATGGGTAAATGTTTCTACATTTTCCCTTAGCTAATATAAGGGGGATTAGTTTCATAAGAGGATGGTTAGAGCTAAATAATGGTAAATATGGACCACTACACAAAACCTGTTATAGCTCATTGCAAAGATCAAATGTTAAAGCCCTGCTCCAAGAAACCACTTAGAGAGGCAACTGTGCTCTGCACTGGAACTCCCACTGAACTCAGTGGCATGAAAACGTGATCAGCAAGACCTGTGTAGGACTGCTTGCCTTTAATGAGTCCTCCCTAAGGCTCTAAGTATTCTCTTGCTGAAGCAGATAATCTGGCAAGAAAATGCACTAATTACAGACAAACAGAACAGCAGACTGGGCTGAGACTGCATGGCAACTGTACCAACCCTAGGGTAAAAACAAACCTATATGTATGTAACCTTACTGCAAATACTGTCTGCTGATCTGACTGTGAATTGGCTTGTTTTTCCTTAATTACATCCACAACAACTTCCACTCCCTTGCCAGATTTCAACACGACCTTTAGCTATTTTGCTCCAAACTGCTTAACTTCTGTGTTGTTGTGGGCAACCTAGAGCACATCTGCAAGACACAGTTTATATTATCAAAAGTGTATAGGTAATATTGCTACAATACTAGGTGTGAGATTAGATAAGTGAATTCCCTCCCTCCAAAACCACAGTAAGAACCTCTGACCTAATCAAAGCTACCTTACAGGATGGAAACAACATGGGTTTGTGGGAACAGCATCCTCTATTCTTGTAGATAGAGCTCATCTCTCTACAGCACTTCTCTGTGCAGTACTACAATTAATATTCAGAAATGGGCAAGACTGTTTTTTTGTAGTATGACCGTGACTTGATCACCTAAATGCTTCAAACTCTGTATAGCACTGAAGGGTTTGTATTATCTTAAAGCTGTTAAACTCTCTGCTGCTTTCCTCTCCTTCACAGGTTAGTGGGCTGCCAACCCCAGATGTGATGTGGTATCAGAATGGAAGGATGGTTCATCAAGATCAGTTTCATAAAATGATAGTGTCAGAGAAGGGATTCCATTCATTTATTTTTGAAGCAGTCAAGTCATCTGATGCAGGAACGTACGAATGTGTGGCTGTCAATCGTGCAGGAGAATCATCCTTTGCAGTAAAAGTGGAAGTAATTGGTAAGACAGAGAGCACTGATAACTACTTGCCCAGATTCTGAAAATCTTAGTATTCTAATGCCTTCCTCTATGTGTACGTGGCATTACAACAATTAGGAAATCTCCAGACATTCTGGCTCAAACAATGACAAGAAGTCTACCTTTTCCAAAATTATTTTAACACATTGCATCGGGATGGAATATTTCTTCAGAGCAGTTGTACTGGGGCATTTCAATGTAATAGAATCTCTTGAATTTGGGATTTAATCATCTTCTGGAACTGGCAACAGAGGGTAGATTGATTCTCCTCCTAAAATGGGTTGTGTCTACTACACCCTTATGCACGTGGGAATTGCCTGTAGGTTAAGAGATGCTGGAGGGAGAGCGTCCTCCTGAATTTAGCATTCTGAAATCTTAAAGCTTGATAATAATTGTATAATACTTACAGTAACTCCTTCTTATCTTTCCTCTTTAATTTAGCAAAAGAACATCACACGCCTCCAACTTTCATCTTCAAGCCACAAAGCAAAAAGGTTTTTGAAGGAGATACAGCCAGACTCGAATGCCAGATCTCTGCCATCCCAACTCCTCGGATTTACTGGAAAAGAAACAATGAAATGGTACAATATAATACAGACCGAATAAGGTATCCTACTAATAAGTTGGCTGTTAGTGTACTAGAAAACAATAACCACTATTTGTTAAATCACATTTCAGTGAGCTGGTTAATAAAAGCAGCAGTTGGCTGGCTAGGCATGCCGCTCATGATGAACAGGCCCATGTGCCAGACAGAAATGATAGTCTTGTTTTGGGGGCACAGCAAGATGCTGCTGAATTCCAGCAGTAGCTACAAGGCCCATGCAGAAGCACACAGTGTGTTCATTGAGCTCTGATGCTGTGGGGGCTGCAAGAGGGCCTCGGTGCCACCATAACGCTACCACGATGTGCATCACCACTGGTTCATAACAAGATTGTAGCACTGATGTTCACATAGTTCAGTGTCCTGTAAGAATTGTTATGGGGCTCTTTCAGCTCCTCAGCATGTAAACTGGCTCTGATTTCAATGTTTTCTCATTTTCCTCCTCCAAACACTTACATGTAAATACTTTTTTTTTTTTTCCCTCCAGCTTGTTACATGACAATACTGGAAGGATTTGCCTCCTGATTCATAATGCAAACAAGAAGGACGCTGGGTGGTACACAGTATCTGCAGTCAATGGAGCAGGAGTGGCCACGTGCCACGCCAGACTGGAGGTTGCAAGTAAGTACTACAGCACAGTGCTGCAGCTACAACCTGAACTGCCACCTGCTGCATTCAGAACAGACCCTCATGGTTCACCTAACAAAGCTCAGCCTGCTGGAAGGACGTCTGTTAGTCCTGCTGAAAACTACACTGTCAGATAGCAAGGAGGGCGAACGTAATCCTTCCCCTACATTTCCAGCCTGTTAAATTCTTCTTAAGACTTGGCTGTTTAACATTACAGATAAAAAGCGATTGAGTTGCTATACCCTGGGTCTGGGAAGACACTAAAAGGGTCTTTTTTCTGTTCCAGCACATACAAACAAGCCAGTTCCAGCCCCAAGGCACCTACGAGTCCGACCAACTTTCAGCAAGTATCTGGCCCTCAATGGCAGAGGGCTGGATGTGAAACAAGCCTTCTCACCAGAGGGAGAGTTTCAGCGTTTGGCTGAGCAGTCTGGACTGTATGAAAGCGATGAACTTTAACTGGAAACAAAGAAGAAAACTCACACACCAACGAGAGCCGGTGCCAACACAGATGCAGTTCACTGGTAGTAGTTCTAATTAGCAAAATACCTATCTACGTATTCGTACTGTGACTCTTGCACATTCTGCTGTTCCCGTTTTACCACGTTAGGTGTTATTTATGTGGGTTGGTGAATATAACCGTTTTCTGAGCGTTGCATTGTAACGGCAGAGCCCGAGCAGGCCGGCCGAGCAGCTCCCGCAGCGCAGGCAGCTCCAGCCCCCCGCGCTGGGCTACGTGCTGAATAGAGGGGTTTGTGCTGCTTCTCTAATACTGCTCTTGATGAGAACTCCGTGCTGTCTGATTACTAAAACCAAATAGAGTGTTTTTATGAGAATTAAGTAGAAGCAAATAAAATCTTAAACGCCCAAAGCGGAGTTTGCCTCTTTCTTGCCCGCCGGCCTCACGCACAGCCGCTCTCACCTCAGCCGTGCGCCGCCCGCTGCCGTCCCGCTGCCCCGCTCCAGCTCCTCACGGCGCGTTAACGGTCGCAGCCACCTCTCCTTCGTGCCCCGAAGGCCAGAAGGGAAATCCCCCGAGCAGGGCTCTGAGCGACGGGCAGCCATCGCCGGGATACAGCGGGCTGCGCCCCGCCCGGCAGCGCTCGGGCCGTCCGTTGCGATTCGAAGGCGGCGGCGCCGCCATGGAGCCCGCGGTGGCCGTGAGGGGAAGAGGCGGAGGTGCGTGAACGGCCGCGGCCCGCCGCCCTCAGAGCTGCGGGAGGGGCGGGAGGGACGGAGCGCGGCGGCCCTGGGGGCTCTGAGGTACAGACGGAGGTGCGCCCAGGTCTGGCTTCCGTCGTTTCCAACAACCAGCTACACCTTCACACCTCCCCCCCCCAGTCCCGAATTGTTTGTCTCTTCACCCTTCTTTCCTCCCCGCCAGGCGCCACGACAATCCCGGTAAGTTACAGCAAAGAAACGGAACTGAAAAGGACCCTGGTGGAGCTGCTCATCTACATCACGTTCCTGGTAGCCCTCAGCCTCGGTAAGTCCCAGCCGCGCCCTGCGGGTTGTGCAGCCCCAGCCGCACAGCTGCGCTCACCTCCCGCCCGCCTTCCTTCGCAGTGACCTTCGGCATGGTGAGCACCAACATGTACTACTTGAATAAGGTGATGGAAGACCTTTTTGTGGAACACTCCTCCGAAAGCGACGGGATTAATTTCAGGAGCATCAGTACCCACGCTGATTTCTGGAAAGTAAGGCTTTCAGGATGAATGCTTTCCCAGGTGAAGAAGCTGCTTAGCACGAATTCGGAGCAGTGTGTGCTCCTGGTCCTCCTGGAAACACCTGCTGGGTTGCTGCGGCTCAGGAAAGATGAGCACTACCTTAAAATGCACTGGTAGAAATGCTGGGTGCAAACAGCAGTCGTGAAATGTGAACAGTCAGTTAAGGGAAGCAAGGGCTGTATCAGTTCATCTGGTGGCATTGTACTCCCTCATATCATGTCTGTTATTGTTAGTCTATGAAGTAATGAGTCCTCCCTGTACAAGTGCATGCTGATGCACTAAAAGCAGTTGTAACGCGTGCACAGATGGTTACAAACTATGGGAGCATGTTTTGCACTCTAGATAATGTTCTTCTGAAATGAAATGCTCTACCTGCATTGAAGAAACATACAGAAAGGATTCCCCCACCTCCAAAAATAAATGCTTCCTTTAGGTACCTCAACCTAAAAACTTAGTCAGAAATACATACCTCAAAACAGATCTTCAAAGAGTAAAATAACAATCACTTGTTAAAACAACAATGAATGGTTAATTAAAACAAAATAGAATGGTTGTGTGTGTAACCATTTGTTTAAAATTCCATGTAATCTTTCAGTGAAGCTCCAAACAGACGTAGGTTGTAGTCTTACTCTGAATAATCTCATTATATGGCTCTGGGAATTTCATTGCATAGGGAATAGAATGGACTCAAAGAAAAAAGATGTCAAGATCTGTAAGACAGCATGTATTGAACATAGTTCGTATTCTACCTTAGACTCCACAGCCATAAGCAAGCTGGGAACCCTGTCAAGTTTTTTTTGTGGTACTTACATCTTTTGAATCTTTAACCTCATTGTGCAACAGTTTGCAGAGGGACCGCTCTTGGATGGGCTCTATTGGAACACGTGGTATGACAACAGAACCATGACTGACCTGAAAAACACCAGCTACATTTTCTATGAGAATTTACTGTTAGGAGTAGCCCAGATCCGCCAGCTAAAGGTGCGCAACAACACCTGCACCATCTACCCCTACTTCCAGCCTTTCCTCAAGAGCTGTTACTCCCAGTACAGCTACCAAGCTGAAGACAAGTCCGACTTTGGTCTGAAGAATGAGTCTGAGTAAGTCATTCTACTTCAGATCTTCTTGTGGCATCTTTTGGAGCTTCAGAAGGCATTTTCAAAATCTGAAATATTTTCAGCTGGAACCAGTAATGTTTTTGAAAACCTCACTAAATCCTTAGCACCATAGTTCTTGAGTATTCTCAAGTAAAAATTGTGCGTGCTGTGAACTACATTTTCTCCTGGGTTTACACAGAGATAAACCATCATTTGTTTTTATGCCAATATTATAGACAAGAATTTGGCATAGGAAAGTTCTAGTGGAGAGACAGGAGGAACTGGAAACAATGAGCACATTTCAGCATAAGTACACATTAATAAGTCTATTATCATTAACATCTCTGGGGAAATGCTCAGTTATACAAAGCCTTAACTTAAATCACATGTTAATAGACTGGAATCATGCTAAAGTGTTGTGGAAACAGAGCCAAAGGACTGCTTTGAACATTTCATTTTGCATTGACTTAAGTCAATGAAAGAATATGCAAACATGCCACAGTAACAATGAACTACCAGAGGTATTCCTTTTACATATGAAGGGTTTAAGGTAATAAACTGTCTAGGCCACACTAGGCAGAATCCAGACTGATAAGCACTTTTGTGAACGTACTGAGTAGATACAGAAGTGGGAATATTTTGAGGTCACGTGCCTCATGTTTATTTCATGTAAAGAAAATGTATTATTTAAATGCCTGGATTAAATGTTCCATTGTGAATGCAATAGAACACAAGAACAAACAAGAATAAAATAGAAGTTAAAACTTACTTCAGTACACTTCCCATAGGTTCGCTGCCTTCTTTTCCTGTTTCTCACAGATGGAAATATGTTTCTGCCGCCTCTTTCTCCCCGTGGTACTGGGGATCTGTGGGCTTTTACGGAAGCGGAGGATTTATATTCACCTTACCAAGATCAAAGCAGGAGAGCATGGACAAGCTGGAATTTCTCAGGAAGAATGGTTGGATCACTCGGGGAACCAGGGCTGTATTTATTGACTTCTCAACATTTAATGCTAACATAAACCTCTTCTGTATAGTCAGGTGAGTTCTTACCTTTACTACATGTGAAATCCAGTTTACTGAGGCATGATGCTTGTTCAAGGACACAAGGAAAAACTGATCACCTCAGGTGTAAACAGCTGTGTTTCTCAGGCAGTAACTGAGAAGACAGTAATTCATTAAGAAATACAGAAATTCACTTAGAGCAGAGAGCAGACCCAGAACTTTTTTTTTCTCCAGACAAGGTGTCTGTTGGGTACAGCTGATTACTGCTGTCATACGAATAGGTTTCATAGTAAGGTCAAAGACTGTATCGTTAGTTCTGTTGTCAGCTACTGAGATAGGGTGAACGTCCACTGTGAGAGTTGCTTTAGAGACTTCACGAAACACTGTAGCTTGGCTCTCCCAGCCTTCCCTTCAATGTGATACTGCTTTCATAGATCTTGCAGATGCAGGAGTCATCAAGTTTTACTATTTGTCCCAGCTGGAGTCAAGTTAGGTATATTAATGAGGTAATAACTGATGTTAGACTATTAAGGGCTGAGACAATTAAAGGAGTGGTAACTAACACGTCTCCAATCTTTTCCAGGTTGGTGGTGGAGTTCCCTGCCACCGGGGGTGCTCTCACCTCCTCTCAGATACACTCCGTGAAGCTCCTCAGATACGTCTCCTATTATGATTACTTCTTGGCTTCTTGTGAAGTTGCCTATTGCCTCTTCATCATTACATTCATAATCCAGGAAGCAATAGAAATAAGAAGACTGAAAATGAAATATTTCAGAAGTGCCTGGAACTGGCTGGATATGCTGTTGATAGTGGTGAGCTGCTCCTCAATTCTTTTGTGCTTGCCAGTCCAGGCTAGCACCAGTCAAGACACCAGTCGAGCCAAAACCACCCAAACCCCTCCTTCTGGTTAGAGCCATTCATTTACTGTTCTCCCATGAAGAGGCCTACACGCTTTAGCACCCCTGAACTCTTTTCTAGCTTTGCTGTTGAGGCCTGTAGCTGCATGACCTTTCCACTCTTTACTGTCCACCCTGTTTTAGTTGCAGAGCAGGGAAGTACTAGCACATAACACAGTAAAATCAGAATGTATGTTGTAGTACAAATCAAGCATTATCATAGAACAAGGAGGCCAGGAAAGTCTGACATGCAGTTTTTAACCAAACATCTAAAAATTTCAGGTTCTTCAAAACTAATCAAGGGTCTGTTGAAATCAATACAATATTTCTGCTATGCAAAATAATGAGTCAGAAAAGAAGGTATCTGGTTTTCAGTTTCACTGGCTTCTGCTTTCCTACAGGTATCCATCCTTGCCATTTGCTTCAATACCTACCGCACTATAGAAGTGTCCCTGCTAATGGAAGACCTCCTTTCTAATGCTCATGCTTATCCAGATTTCTATTTCCTTGCATTCTGGCAAGTCATTTATGATAACGTGATTGCTGTCAATGTCTTCTTTGCTTGGATAAAGGTATTGGCACTTACTATTTATTTATTTATTTATTGTACTTGAGAAACATCATGCTTCTAAGCTTGTTATAAATGCTCACTTTTTCATGGGTGAACTGCAAAGATGGGGCTAGAATGAGGAATTTTGTTTATGAGATTCCCGAAGGGTTTTAAATTATCTCGTTCTCATAAACATGGGTCACATAAATACCAAGGCCATCTAAAAAAAAAATTTGCACATGAACAGCTGTCTCCATTTGAACAGCTGAGAAATAGCCATGGCCAAACAGCTTCCTTAAACTCAATTTTTTCCTAGACTCAGTATTATCAAGGTCACAGCCTGAACTATACAAATGACACTGCTGTACTAGGTGAAGCTATTTATAGCGTTCATAGCTTTCAGTTTGTCTTCCTGCACCTCCAAGCCAAGGCTGCATGTAGAAGCTGTTTGAGAACACTGACTGCTAGTCAGTTGTGTGGACAAACTGATTACTGTCACTTTGGTAGCACAACTGCCATCAGACAAGACTTTTGTTCAGCCTTGTTTTCACAGCCAGAGTAAAAGAGCTCCTCACCAGCTCTGCCTGACAGGAATCCTCAGGTGCACAAGGTTGGCCTTTTTTGAGGTCTCCTTGCCTAA